ACACCCCCCCCCCCCCTTCAGGACCCTCTATATTATCCGCATTTTACAAGATTTTGCAACAAAACTTTGAAATATTATTAATTTTGTGATGCTATTTCAAGCTGTGTTGAAATTTTTGTCCAGATCGAAATTTTAGTTATAAGGGGAAAGGTCCATTCCGGGGAAATAATTAAAGCTTCAGAAAGTTTTTTAAAAGAGGAGGGGGGACGGTCAAACTTTATTTCCGTAATTTATTTCAATACATCAAAATAATCCCGCCTCACATATGGTCCTGGCAAAGCGGGATCTTATTCAGCAAATTGTGCACCATGTCTTTCATCTTTTGGGGCTCTTGGGAACGAGGCAGCACTTTCCTTGCGATAGTATTAAAAAATCCTAGTCTTCTTAGACCCTTCTTAATTAATCTGACACTAACATGATTACATGAACTTGACGACTTTTTTATAGAAGCCCCACAGTCCACAAAGGATTGCAGGCTCGAGATTGTGAATCTCGCGTATCAAACGCGCATGGCATTTAAGACCTTCATTTACGAAGGTCTTGGTTTATTGTGAAAATGGCGGCTGATTTTGTCAGAAAAATGAAGAGATTAATATTCTTGTATTCCACTTTATTCCATTAGTTTATAGTAGGTAAGTAACATAGTAAATAAAATTTGTTACGTTTAGTAATCACCATATCGAAGAAATCGTTGCCAAATAACGTTACACTTACTATTTTGCAGCACATCCACAAATTTTAGATCATGCTTTTTGGCAGTTTACTATATATTGATATTTTGCAATAGTGAATCTGCAAATGTCTAATTCATTTCTATTATACTGGCCAAGATAAATTAAAGAGTTGAAGTTGCTAGCTTATGAAGTGAAACTAATCTTTCAATAGTCTATAGTTTTGAGTTTTATGGTTTGGCAAAACTGTACTCTGACGTCCTGACTGGAAAGTTGCACCCCCGATATTTCAAAAATTTAATAGTAAATATAGAAATAATCAAAATTGCCAGCCCAATATCTCGGTTTTACAAACTTATCTCAGTTAAATAAACGTGTTACAAACTTTATGACAAGCTAGATGGCTCCAAGGGTGGCAGCTGGGGTGCATGCATTCCATGTAAACAGTAAACTCTACACCGAGGGTGAATTCCATGTGAACGCTATGCCGAAGACATGCCAATACTAGCTATAGATGGTATTGTAATTTGCCAAACTCACGCCAGATATCTTCACACTTTTGTGCATAGAATGCATCCTGGGTGGCAGCTCCCAAAGGTGTCAGGATTGCAAATGGTGTTTTACTTCTGCCTGGGGTTCAGTGTTCAGAAAATCAATAGCTTAATTTTTTTCCACTTGTTTGTCTGTACAAATAGAGAAGTTGGTTATTAAAAGTCTCGTTTTAGTCGTTATTTCATGCAAAATAGCTATTAAAAAACCTCGTCCCTCAAAATAGGGATGAGCCGTTTAATCGGTAAATAATCGGCAACCCCTTCTCTCGCCACTACAATACTTCATGTAAACTCGTCATAAGTGCATCGCTGTTTTTTCACAAAGAGACGTCTGGGTACGTGGCAGTGACAGGTGAGACTTCCGCTTTTCTCGGTAAACACAAAATTGTGGGAAACAAAAATTTCGCTCGGGAACACCTTTTTACATTAGAAAAGCTCACCGGTCATGCGTGTCTGGTAAGAGACAGTGTTTGCCTGTCAAAATGAAAAAATGTACCGGACAGTGACCGGTGAACAGCACTTATTTCGAGGCCTGCCCCTACCTAGATAACCCAGTGGCCATTGGCCACTAATTTTCACGGGCAAGTGGTCAAAAGTCTGGAGCTGGAGCAACTAGTTTGTAAATAAACAGCTCTGGCTGCTTAACCAGTAACGGAAATTTTTGTGAAAGACCATTTTTACTTGTCATATTCCTTAGAATGTGAGGGAAAATGAAGACATTATTCCGTTCCGTTCGTCCATGGTGGCTTGTGAAAGATCACTGTTTTTTTCTGACAATGGGGCTGGTCAGTTGTTCTGTAACAAATGCTACTATTCTAATGAGTTGCTCATGCTGGATATATATCCTAAAGTTTCAAAGTATGAATATTAGACTTAGTCTAGAAGGGTTATTTTTTAAAAAATCGCAGTAAGGTGAAACTAGCAAGAAATTTGCAAAGCAATTTAGACGATGCTAGACGAATTTGACATTTTATGGCCTTTTGGTGTCCTGAGCCGCATACATAATAACACCATTTTCAGTAATCTTGTGCGCGTCATATGTTACAGATATTAAACATGCTTATCTTGTTAGTTATTCAAATAAGCGCAACAAATGATAATTATTATCATTAAAAGTTCAATATTTCACTCCCCTAAAGCGTGATATTACCGATACCAAACTGTTGTACAGTATTTATGGGAGACTGGGAGTTAGACAGTTCATTAGACAGTTCAACTTCAACCTCGTACCCAGGGCTTCTGCGCTTATTGCTCTCAGAAGCGCAGAAGCTCTGGGTACGAGGTTGGTTCAACTTTGCACGAGTTATTTTTGAAATAAGTTAATACTAAATAGCTTGAAATTATTTTTGAATGCATTCTTTAGAATAGTCATGAATCAAATTTTCAAGTTTTTCATTATAAAGGTAACAAAATAAGGTCTTAAATGAGCTTTGCGACCGCTGACCAGCCCCTTTGTCAGAAAAAAACGGTGATCTTTCACAAGCCACTATGGACGAATGGTAGTGATTGACCAATAATCGGCATTGGGCCGATTTTTGCCTTATCGGTAGACAATCGGAATCGGTAGAATTATCTATTATTATTTCCGATTGTCTAAAACCGATTGTTGAGAAAATATCCACTTTAAAAATGATATGCATTGCACATTGATACACGTTGCGTTTGAATGCAATATGTTTAATTAATGTGTCAAGTGTGCCATTCATTAACAGTTTTGACGATCTTTGGTTGCAATAACATGTTAAATTTGGGAATTATTGTTAAAAAATTGAGATGAATGATGTTACCTATAAAATCGGTATCTGGCAGATTGTGGCATGAATAACGGTAATCGGTAATTTCCGATTGTTGCACAATCGGTCAATCATGATGCCTTGATGACGTCTTACCCAACGGTGAAAAGGAAAAATTATTTTGTTGAAAAATTTGAAATAATCTTAAAAAAGCAGCGTATCAGCCTTTGCGACACAAGCACGCATCCGATGTGGATACGTACTGTAGAATCTAACATGCATTGAGCACCTGTGGTAGTGATCGTATTAACGACTTATATTATTATTATTATTATAATTATTATTATTATTATTAAGTCTTTATTAAAAAGGAAGGAGGCACAACAAACGTATGCCTTTACAATTCCAATTGAGTTAAATTACAATTACAATGATTAAAAGTAGAATTACAATAGAATTATTTTATAGTGATTAAAAAAGTTAAAATAGCTAATTATTAAAAATAGTCAAATAAGCATCTATTTAAAAATGAGTGTTTAAAACGTTCAGTTTTGATCATTGGTAGAATAAAAGAGTGTTTTCTTTCTCTTAAAGTTCTGGATCTCCTTTCTGGGAGTAGGTTATGTAAGGCTTGATCCGGATCTTTCACAATTTTTGCAAATAAGGCCTTGTCCTTCTCCTCAGCCAGTTGCGATATTTTATACTCTTTCAAGGTATATCCAAATCGATAAGCTTGTCCTGAGGAATTTATCAATTCGTTGTAGATATTTATTCTGTAGTGCGGATCCCCAAACTTCAATTCTGTAGTGGAACAACGATAGAATTGAAGAGTTTCAAACAATACTGTAGGTTTAAGTTTTCCTTTGTATAACCATAGGATCTGCAAACTCTAAGGATGTGCATACGGCTAGCAGCCTTCGGTAGGAAGGTGTCGACTTGTAAATCCCAACAGCAAGGATCGTCCTGAAAAGCCATTCCGAGAAGTTTCAACCAGTTTTTGCACTCAATACCATCCAATTGGAGCGGTAATGGCTTCGTTGTTCTGCCACGAACAACCATTTCCCAAGTTTTAGACATATTAAGAGTCATCATATTATCACTCGCCCATTCTTTAATGTTCCTTACTTCGCTAGCTGCTGAATCTCCAGTAGTTTTCACAGTCAAGTCGTCCGCAAAGTTAATCAAAAGATTACTCTCAGGATCTTCGAGATTAATATCATTGACCATGAGTGAGAATAAGAAAGGGCCAATGACAGTTCCTTGTGGTACTCCTCTGTTGATATCTAGAAAATCTGTCACAATTCCATCTACCATGACTCGCTGCTCTCGATTTGTTAAAAAGTCTAAGATCCAGTTAATAACATAAGGATTAAGATTTGTCTGCTTTAGCTTTTCGCACAGAATATCGTGGGGAACAGTGTCAAAAGCCTTGCTAAAATCGAAGAAAATTACTCTTACAGAATCAACTTCTTCATCGTCCAACCATTTAAGCCACTGGTGTTGACATTTAATGAGGGCAGTTGTAGTGTTTGAGCCTGTCTTATATGCGAATTGATCCTTTCCAATAATAAAATTCGACTGCATACTAATTTCTTGTTTAAAAACAAATTTTTCAAAAAGTCTCATTATTATATTTGTCAATGAGATAGGTCTTAACTGATCACAATTAGACAAAGGCAGTTCTTTTGGAATCGGGGCAAGGTTGGCTAATTTCCAGAGGGTAGGGACACACTGCTGTTCCAATGAAGAATTCAATATTCGAGTGAGTACTGGAGCAAGATAGTAGGCAAAGTCTTTCCATAACCAGTAAGGAAACCCATTAGAGCCTGGTCCTGTTCGTTTTAAATTTATCATAATGTTTTTAACACTATTTTCGTCAACAGTTGGGATACGGGTACCTTCTGGGATTAAAAGAGGTACAGGAGTTGTGTAATGGGTATCCGTGTTAATTTTTTGAAAAAACTCGTTCATCCGTCCAGGATCTATTACAGAGCTAACCCTGTCAACATTTATGCTACGACCCGTAATTTTATTTACCGTTCTCCACCATTCCTTTGACCCTCGTTTAAATTTTCTGTTTTCATCCTTGACTGCTCGAATTTGGTTCTCACGAATTAATATATTGATCTTTTCCTGAAGTTCAGGGCTAATTCCCATTCTTAATTTCTTATTTGCCTATTTCGCATTTTCCAAAGGTGTTTTACTAGTGGAGTCATATATGGGGGGGGGGGGGGTGTCTCTTGAGGAAACCTTTACCTTAATTAGGGGAAAACAATCATTATACATGCCTCCAATTGCATCAGTTAAAATAGAAACTGCCTCACTAGCATCCCTTGTATTGTTCACACTGGTCCATTGTATTCTTTCAACCTTTTCTCCATCTCTATCTTACGGTGCTCCCTTACATCTCTGAAAAACACATGTTTTCTCTCAGCTTTTGCAAGGGTTTGAGGCACTACCATAACGGCTAAGTGGTCAGATCTGACAAGACTCGTAAACACGGTAGGAACTTTCCAAATATATGGACGATTGGTCAGGAATACGTCTAACGTTTTTAGGCCTCTAGTAAATTTTTTCACCAATTGATCCAAATTGTGCTGTCTAGTAAAATCTGTGATTTTTAGATGATTGATATCACCGGCAATTATTATTCTAGCACTGGGATCCGAGAGCAGGATCTGTTCACAACTTTCGGACAAATGGTCAAGTAGATCAGGTTCTGGATATGTTGGGTCTGGCGGGTAATAAATTGCTGCGACATAATATTTATTGTTATTTTTAACATGAATTTCACACCATAAACACTCAAAAACAGTATTGTTGAAGTCAAGTTTGTTGATCTTCCAATCATTTCGGCACAAAATTGCAACTCCGCCTCCCAGTCGTTCATCAGAACGATCTTTCCTTACAAGTATATACCCATCGGGACATATCAAGCTTGATAAAATCCTGCTATTAAGCCAGGTCTCCGAGATGAAACACACGTCTAGTTTGTTCGTAATGACTTCCGTACATAATGCAGATGCAGCATCCGGTTTAGCAAGAGATCTGGCGTTTAATGCCAATAATGAATAACTCAGACCTATGATTTGTTATGTATTTGGGGTATGCACAGTATACTGATTGATAAAATCGATAAAATGAATGCGCTTAACCTATAACACGGTCTACACCAACTACTATGTTATATGGGTTTAGCGACCCGCCATATTGATGCTTCAACATTTTCGCGCGTACTCGAAAATCAATCGTTTCAATATAAGTACTATTCACAACTCAAAAAGCAGGAAATCCGAAATCTGAATTAAATATGTCTTCAAGGGGTACTGGACACCAGTAGAAGGGGTGTGCACCCCCCTGCACCTCCCGGTAGATCCCAACCTCGTCCCCAGGGTCGCGTGCCATAACGAGGAAGACCCTGGGGACGAGGTTGGGTAGATCCACTTCTGTTAACCCCCTTGTTATTTCAATGGTCACCTGCTCCAGTGACACATAAAAGAGGTTTGTGCCATCAATTAGATGTTTTCACAACCGTTGCCTTGGAAACCTACTATTTCTTGGCTGTATTGAAGTACTGAAGAAGTCAAAATATTTGTGTCTAACCATGATGATGCCCGCCAAAAAATGCTTCAAATATTTATTAGAGAAAGAAACGAGGAAGAAACATAAAACTCTGAGAAACCAAATGCACTTTTTTAGAATATAAATTATTTAAACATTTTCTAATTATGTATTAAAGGAATACCAAATGGTTTTCCATGCAGGATAGCATCATCCATGCACACGAGATGTTTTTTTACAATTTCCAAAAGTGCATGACCATTTGGTGGCATGAGCTGATTTTCAGCTAAATTACTCGGAGCATTAATGTGGCTCCCTACAATTTTTGAAATATGACAAAATCGTGATTTAGATTTAATTTTTGAAAAGAGGTTTCTTGTTTAATAGAAGACAAAAATTGTACCACATATATTGAGCAATCTTCTAAGAATTGAAAATTGTTCACAAAAATGACGTCATTACCGTTGCTATGGTAACAATGACGTTTCAATATGGCCGACATTTTACCTACAGAATTTTTTTAAACTTGTTCACATCATTCATTTTTCAAAATGAAAACGTTTCATGAAATAAAAAATGGGGGTAACAGGCCTTTTTTTCGAGTGAAATGTGTTAAAAGGTAAAATGTCGGCCATATTGAAACGTCATTGTTATCATAGCAACGGTAATGACGTCATTTTTGTGAACAATTTTCAACTCTTAGAAGATTGCTCAATATATGTACAATTTTTGTCTTCTAACAAGAAACCTCTCTTCAAAAAATTAAATCTAAATCACGATTTTGTCATATCGTAGGGTGCCACCTTAACAGGCAAACATGTAAATTAAAAGTGAACACATGCTAAAAATGCAAAATTTTGCATTTCCAGGTTTTCTGAGGGTCTCTGGATTTATCCGTATCAATTATGCTAATATATTATTTCGCTGGCTTCAGAGTGACAAAACGTAACAAAGTTGGAAAGTGTGGAAAGTTTGTATGACGAGCTAACAGCTCCAGGTTGGCAGGTCCAGGTTTGCGAACCAGTTCCAGGTCGCTTTCAACCTGAAGCTGGAACGACTAGTTTGTATATAAACTGCTTTGGCTGCTTAACCACTAATGAAATCAATTTTTTTTGAAAGACCATTTTTCCTTGTCGTATTTCCTTAGTACGTGATGGAAAATGAAAACATTATTCTGTTCCGTTCGTTAGTCATCTGGTGTAGAACATTATGTTTACTTTTCTTAATTTTTGCCTGAAATACATGTGAGGACAAATTCAAAGAATACAGTAATTGTAGTGCAAAAAATAATAGTGTAAAAATTTTCCGTGGGAGAATGGACTCTCAGACCCTTGTAGTAATGCACCCCGTTCTGGGAAACCCCTCCAACAAATCCCTCCACTGCCTCTAACAAATGAGGCCAGCTTTGCTCCTGAGTAAAGCCAGTGGTCAGAGTGTTAGAACATAACACCAAAGACCTTGGGTTCGATTCCCGTTTAGAACATTCAGAAATCAGATTATTTCTTGTATAAGTTATGTAATACTGTATGTTGTTGTTATTTATGTATTTCAGTCAATTTCTTAAATAATTTGGATCATCATGGCAAGCAGTGGCTCAAATACTACAAACCAAGATCATGCTCTTCAAGTGATCAAAAAATATAAAACTTATGTGGACATGATTGCTGAAGTCAATATACGTAAGTACTGTATATACAGGGTGTCTCAGAAAAACGCAACCTCGGAATTTCCTAGGAAATCGACATTGTTTTAAAGACAAAGATTTTAGGCGCCTGGGAATTTAAAATAGCACAACTGTCAAAATTACTGCACACGCGAGTGCATAAAGCAAAATTTATGCATTTATTTAGTGCACAACAACAGTAATACGATCTATTAGCAATTCGATTTCAATTCCCAGGGGCCTAAAATCTTTGATGCTTAAGAATTGCAAAGTGATTTCTTAGGAAATTCCGAGGTTGCGTTTTTTTTTTATTCACCCTGTATATGCAATCAAATTTGTATAGTTGTATTAATCATGACAAAAACAAAAACACAGCATTGTCTGTTTTAAATTTGGCTATTTTAAACATGGACTGAGATTTCAATTGGGCTGGTATTCCAAAGGTCGTAGGTTCGATTCCCACCGTGGTCAGGCATATTTTTCAAGCTTGCCCGGTGTGGATATACACTCAGAGTAACATCACAAGCATCAGGCTGGTGATGTTTGGTTAGTTTTGATATGTACTACTACTGCCTGTATACTGTACATCAAACTGTACAAGTAATATAAATCAATAGAGATGCGCAGATCAGAATAAAATAGGTTTATCATATATTTTGTTTAGCTGATGAAAGCAAGTTGAATGCAGCTCAGGAAATCAGTGAAAACTTTGAAGTATGTGACATCTTGTGCAGTCTGTATTTAATAATAAATAACTGACTGTATTTAACAAAAATAATAACTAAATACAGTAAAATATAGGGGGTGCTACTCATTATTTAGAATGAGAATTAAGGGTGGCATCTCAAAATGGGGGAGGAAGTGATATATAAGGGGGGAGGAAGTGATATATAAAAGTCTGTCGTTCAACGGTTTTCGGCCAAGATTGCAGGTTCGCTCTGGCTATGTAATTGCACATCCCACCATTTCATGCCCATGGTAATGATGTATTAATATTGATTTAATATTTGCTTTCGAAATATATTTCTTTGTTTTCGACGTACTAGGTGATCATTGTTTCTCCGCACTATGCTGGATTTTTGGAATTTGCCATTCCAAGATTTCTTCAATTTCTCAGAGATGGTATGAAAATAAAATATGGAAGTTCACTAATTTTAGCCAGTACGACAATCAGATTACCATTTATGTTCAGTATGTTGCGTTCTTTATTTCTCAATTTTTCTCAAATTTGGCTAGTACATGACAAACTTAGGTTTGAGTGAATTTATTACATTGCATTAAGTTATTTTTCAACTTGCTTCTGTTCTGTTTGATGCATGCAGATAACAACGTGCAGTAAAGTACATAAATACATGTAGGTAGAACACATGTACTGTAAAGAGAAGTAACTTTCATTTTTGTGTAGGTGAGCCACAGTTCATTGCTGAAGGGGTCGTTCAGGTGAGGAACTATTGCCTTTTAGGAACTGACACAAACATTTTTTGTGCACACCATAAATGAGTAGGACTTTCCTTTGCTGTCATTTTGCAATCCCTATAAAAGTGTGTCGAAAAAGAAATTTAGCCTCAACGCGAAATTTGATTACACGCCTATTTGTATCCCGTAAATAATTGTACCTTTTATGCTTTGTTTGCCTTTTCAGCAACTGCGCAAACTTATTTTGGAAATAATTCATCGTATTCCAACAAATGACCACCTAAGACCACATTATAAGGTAAGATCATAGTTTTTATTCAACTGTGTACAGTATATCTAAATTGCATGATAGCTCCACGTACCTTATGGAATTACAGTACACCGATAAAAGAAATAATTTAAACCAGCATTAACTTTCTTGAATAATATTGATCTTTATTTTAGAATATTCTTACAGCAATGTTTCATTTGTTGGAAGTAAGTATAAGTCATTATAATTATACCGCCATGAACTGTGCAGGCGTATGTAGTTGTTGCATAGTTATTGTGTTGTTGGGTGATGTTACTGTCATGGTGATTTCACCTTTACAATCGGGTTTGTCCGGTTTGATTTCTGCATTATGCAATTATATAAATATAATTTCGCACTTCCAGTTTGACTCTGCCTGTTGTTGACTCTATTAAATCATGCATGCAGGTTGTCTCCAGATATTCTCGTTTCCACTTGCTGGTTTTTCATCCTTACTGGTTTTTCCAGGGAAAACAGTTTTGAAGTGAACTTTCTAGTAATAAAGTTCAGTTCAGTTAACAGAAATTAACAGATGTTTCCATGTTATGTTTTCTTGTTTAAATAGTCAGAGAATGAAGAAAATGTTTTGGTTTGCCTACGGATTATCATTGAACTACATCGTCAGTTCCGACCTCCCATGCAATCCGAGATCCAACACTTTCTACATTTTGTGAAAAATATTTATAAAGAATTATCCAACAACATTGTAAGTGTTTTGTCATATTTTGATACAGTGGAATCTCTCTTTGCGGACACCTATTTAACACGGACACATCTTTATTATGTTGTAGTACTATTCGTTTATAGATACTGACGTGTGGGCATGTTCTCAGTCGCTGAACACGCAAAACATTCACGTGTTAAAGTGACGTAATTGTGTTGATCTGTATAAAACGGACACCTCTCAAATACGCACACTTGCTCTGTTCTGCGGTGTCCGTATTAGAGAGATCCAACTGCATTTGTGCGTTAGAAATGCACTTTACCTCTGTTTGAACTCATGCAACCGCGTATCTATGTACTGTATTTTCAGGACTGTTTACTGTCTATATATACATCGGGATGATAATTTATAGGTATACTGTAATTTCATAATTTTAGAAATCTTCATTTGAAGTGGTACATATCACAGCGACAGGTTACTTAGCAGCAGAAGTGAATGGTGGGGCTACTACAACTCCCAGTGCTCCAAGTACTACTGTTTTGAGCAGTCCAAATCAAGCCACCAAAACTAGTGGAGATCTCACTATGGCTGCCAAAGGGGGTCAACAGGTATCCATTATTAATGGAAGTAATATCGATTTTGTAAACAGTTAATTACTGTAATGCACCCTTCCGGGAAGTACTCAGCCTTGGCTATAGAGCCTCGTTTTCGTGATTGAGACATTGGGCTTACAGCTCTTTATCTTCTTACAGCTGACGATACATTTACAAGATCATACAGTATATTAAATAATATAAAAGACCTTTATGCAATTAGGTCATCAGTGACAAAATAAAGGGCTTTACTGTATATCCTACTGAGGAAGTTGCGAGGGATAAACCAGGCGAGAATCGTAATCTGATGATAAAGATCAATGCTCAGCATAATGTCCGTTGAATAACAGTCATTATTATTAGCATGACAAAATTACTGGATGCTGATTGGTTGAGGGGAGTACAATTATTTCATTAATTGTACTGCAGTACAATTAATGATTTCCTCAAAACAAACAAAATGGCGGAAAGGTATTTTAAACACAAGCGTGAAATGAAATTGTCCTAGAGGAACTAGATGAAAATACAAACAAAAGCACCAAATTTTGCTTTAACAAAAGAACTAAGTGAAAATACGGACAAAAGCACCAAATTTTGGTTGAAAGTCTGGCAGGACTGGGCTTTGGCGAGAGAATATATGATGTTAACATTGAGAAGTATCCAATTTTGTCATGCTAATAATAAACAAGTAATCATGCGATGTTGCTCATACAATTATGGATTAATAGTACTCGTGATGTTTGGAAATTTGCCAAATTGGACGAGCCGCCGGGGCGAGTTTCCAAACATCACGAGTATAATTAATTTCCAAACATCACGAGTACTATTAATCCCTAATTGTACGAGCAACATCGCATGATTACCTATACTAATAAAATGAAGTTTTATAAAATTATATAAAAATGAAACTTTAGAAAATTTCATTTTGTTATGACTATTATTCTACGGACATTACAGTGGACATTGATCTTTATCAGGGAGGGACTTCGCTTGAAATGTCGAAGTGTCTTTATCAGGTACTTCAGACAACAATCACTGCAGGTTGCCTAAAATGATAACTTTTAAGAAAAATTTTATGACGTGTTTTTGCATCAACATACAGTACAACTGCTAATTTGAATTTTTCAGCAAACTGTCATACCGAAAGCTGTTACATCATTGAAAGTTTTGGCTGAGTTACCAATTATTGTCGTACTGCTGTTTCAGGTATGTTACCTTAATTTGTACTCGTCAAATATTACTGTACGATTCGAAGGCATCTTAAAAGCACCCTCCTTCATGGTACATGCATATGTACAATGCTTAACTTGTATACTCTATACATGTATTTGCATGGGAGCTAGAAAGTTTACTACTGTACTGCATGTCCGAACTTCGTAGGGACAAAATCCTCAAGTTAATATTACGAGATTAGAGTAATATGTTTGTTTGTTTGTTTGTTTCTTTTGACAGCTTTATAAACAGAATGTTCTGGGGGAAATCCGAGAGTTCATACCGTTAATCATGAAAACCATAGTCTTGCAGCCTTCTATGAAAGCAAGGTCAGTTCATGTAAAATAGATATTCGAGCTCATTTGCACTTGATGATGACAAAAACAGTAATTGAATAATAATATGAATTCTATTAATACTGTAACTTTGTAGTAAATAACTGGGTAAGCATGTTGATAAATATAATAATGTACACATGACTACCTATAAGAGCGTCTTTTTACTTGCGCTGATGAAAATCTGGAATTATTGTTTGAAAACTATGCGAACTAAATAAAAGTGGAATTTTCCACAATTACCAATCTACAGTATTATACTTGTAATTTGCTTTTACTGAAGAGTAAAATCCAACCCTACCCTGCCCTGATTACTCTAGCCCCCAAATCTAGTACCGTATTTACTATTTTATATCAGTATCCAAACTCAACAGTTTGTCCTTTTCTTCTTTCAATAGAAATGCACCAAGTTTCAACAAAGAAGTGTATGTTGATTTTGTTGCAGCTCAAATTAAAACTCTTTCATTTCTCGCATTCATCATCAGAGCTTACCAGGTCAGTCGAGTTGGAAAATATTTTGTACATATCGATTTACAGTATTATGTTTCATCTTTCAGTATGCGAGCTTCCATTAACAAGTACAATTTAAATACAATCCTATAACCCATAGTTAATAGAAATATGCCTAACTCTAACCGTTGTTTTAACCCTAACCCAAATCTTCCAGGAAAATCACCCTAACAGTAACGGTTTCGTCTAGTTGCATCTTATACATCGAGGAATTATATTTGATTATATGTTTTAGGAGTATGTCAATAACTTTTCTCAAAACATGGTTGGTGGAATGCTGGGATTGTTCCGGTATTGTCCTCAGGTACACCAAGTTTATTTGAGTTTTAATAACTTGCCCGCATGAACGGTTTTATATAAGCATGGATAGATCTATGTGGGTAAAGCGATTTCGGTAAATCTCGGGTATAGCCGGACTGGCTTCTTCCTTACAATTTACAACAACGTAAAACGTAAATCCAGTTTGCCGTTTCCATTTAAAAATGAAAGGACGGAGGCTGCACTCATCTTGCGATACTAATTTCTAATATCATAAAATCACCCAAGGCTCGTAACTTTTGAATGACTTTTCAGGAAAACGTTGAGTTAGTTAATACTTTTCACGTACTTCTTGTAATTTTCTTGTTTTCATTCTAGGAAGTTGCACATTTGAGAAAAGAATTGTTGATCGCGGCACGCCACATCTTGGTTACTGATTTACGAAACAGTATGTATTCTTGCGCTAAAATTTCTCATTGACGTAAAATTTAAGTTCATCTTGTTATAACATTGGCGTAAAATTTAAGTTCATCTTGTTAGAAAGACTTTTAAAATCCAACTATATAAGTTTAACATTCCATCGATATCTTCCTTTGTTTTCGAAATATTTCCGTTTATTCGGTATGCATATGGTTCAATCTGTGACTTCACAAGCATGAAGGCGAAAAATTTGAAATGCTGATTAATCTGCATGACAAAAATAGTATCAAACAAACTCACTCTTTTAGATTTTAAATCCTAACACAATAATGAGAATTTGTAACAGAAAATCATAAAGTGCATAAAGTACGTGTAATTTTGGCCGTGGTAATGATTATACCGCCGTATATCATAGAAACTGTTTCCGAAAATGAAGCCGACAGAAAAGACATCGAAAAATTATAAAAAAATTTTTCTTAGTTTGCAGTTTTTTAATGCCGTGCTCAAACGAATTTTGGCATCGTTTTATATTCGCTGCATGCGTGAGTTTGTTAGTGTGTTAGTTGGTTAGTTTGTTTGGAATCATAAGCCTTGGTAAGGTATTTATTCAAAAATAAATGTTTTGTCTTGTTTTGTCTTTCTCCAGGGCACCGCACTGTTGTATACTATAAGCCTGGTTTTTATTGCCAATGGTTTTTTTACCATGTTCATTTATGTCCTTACTTTCGATATAAGTTTTGAAATAAAGAAAGTACTCACTATAAGCGCTAGAAAAGGAATTTGGTTGAGTTCCTATTCCAACAAGATATTGGTTTAATTTGGGCATTGTTTCATTGTGACCGTGCTGTATCTTGTCAGGATTTGTTCCTCATATTGATCAGTTGTTTGACGAAGATGTTTTGATTGGTTCTGGATGGACAGCGCGTGAATCACTACGACCACTGGCATACAGTACGTTAGCTGACCTTGTTCATCACGTGAGAAGTCATCTTCCACTTCAACATTTATCACTGGCTGTACATTTGTTTTCGAAAAACGTCCATGATGAATCTCTGCCAGTCAGCATTCAAACCATGTCGTGTAAAGTAAGTCATTAACTATATGATTGTTCTAGAGTCTAACTAATCGTTGGATACTTAAGCCCCGTTTACACTACGCTCAATTTTTGGTACGGCACGGATAAAATTGGTACCCGTACCACTTTTTTTTGGTTCTTGGACTACCTATTTAGATAGTCCAAGTGGCACGGTACCCAAAATCGAGCGTAGTGCATGTAAACGGGGCTTTAGTGTCGTTGACACAAGGCGTGTTTGCCCAATTCATCCTATAAGGCCTACTTTGGAGGCCAATGTCGCCTAACGTCGCCTAATTTCGCATAATGTCGCCTAATGTCGCCCCATGTGCACCCAATTTTTGAACTTTGCCTAACAGTCTATTCGCTCAATGTCTCACAGTTTCGCCCAGCGACGCATATACTACTTTTTTTTGAAAATTGCCAATGTCGCACAATGTTGCCCATAATAACGGCGACCTTGGCCCCTAAACTAGGCCTATCCTAGCTTTGGCTAGACAAGGACTCATGTGACAAGTGCTCGACAATTAGCCTTACTCCGATTTTCCCGCCATTTCTGGGGTACTGCCTCTCCCACGTTTGAGAGTCTCCGCACCACAAAATACAACTTTATAGTATTATAGTTGTTTGTATAATTTTTACACTTACAACTTTTAAAAGTCGCTTTTCACGTTGTTTGAATTGTCTAGAATCTTTCACGAGGGCAGACAGTACCCCAAAATGGCGGATTTTGGTCTTCGTAAGAAAGGCTAATTAGGCGTTGAGGAAATTTTTCATGAATATCATCAATATAAACGTACCTTATAACATCTCATCCTTTTTTACCAGTTGCTACTCAATCTGGTGGAGGGAATACGTAAAAGTGACGAACAGGGAACGGTAAGTTTATAATGATTGTTTGAAGCGTGTTTTCTACCAATCGCCACTTGTATTACCGACATGAATATTACGCACGCGCGAAATTTGTTCCCAACATGGCTGAATTAAAAGAAAAACAGTGTTAACCAGAGGACACTCAGTAACTGCATATTCCTACTGTACATGCATGTACTAATTATGCATTCCGATCTTTTCAGCCCGAAAAAATAAAACAAACTTTTGTATATTTCTGATCCATTTCTGATCCATTAAAATTGACCCAAACTTTGATCGGGTTGTCCTTGGCCTAGCGATTAGCTCCACAAATGTTCGTATTAAACTTTTTGATAGTCATTTTGCTGACAAACAAACGCACAAATAAACACATAACAATCAAGCCGATGTAACAACACAACCTCCTGATTGAGGTACAGTAAATATAGGAATATGAATAATCGTTAAGCTTGGTCACCCTGACGATTTTGTCGGCGATTCTCTCTTCTTGACGGATGCGAACAAGTGAATTCGCATATCTTGAAATAATTTAGCATTTTTTCTGATTAGTTCTCTACACACGTCTGCATGTACATTCTACGCATGTTCACAGCATGAACTAGCTCATCTTAGCCCTCAATTTGTGGCCGCAATTTCTGATCGTGTCAAGCACCACCGTTGTAGTTCCCAAGCAACCTCGGTCAACATCTTGCACCTAACTCATCGGACCATTTAATATACCACAGTTGCTAGGCGCTGCTTTGCACGCTGCACAGTTACGGGTTATTGGTCACTTTAAAAAACGTTTTTAATGAATTAGTTTCTAGCGTAGACGTTTACCGTCAGGGGGCGAAACTAGCCCCTTTTAATTCGGGGATGTCATGCAGCAAATTACTATTTCTGGCCACTATTTTTCCCAACAATGTTGGGGATCGAAAAATTTTTCCGGACATAAACCAGTTTTTGGACCAATATCTGTAAAATTTAGGTATATAAATTCTATTCAATTCCCTCTGAAAGCCCTGTACGTTACTTAATAACTCTACATTCTATCATTTAAAATCTTTGATTGCCCTGCCAATCCAGATGATTCGCCCTGCCAATCCAGATGATGCGTTTTTTTTGTGTTTTTTTCTTCTTCTTCCCCTCCCCCATAGCGCCCTCACGTTTTGCCCCCTGTTTACCGTATTTAGCGCCGTGGCGCCAAAGAGTGTCACTACTTTCAGCTAGCCTACAGTATATATACGTCCCGTGTAGTGGCACCTGAAATTATGTTTGTCTGACGTGAATGTAGAAATTCTTAACCGACTAGTTGCAGTATCCCGGGCCAGAATTCCCAGGAAATTTGGTCCCCTCTTCGGAAATTTAGGCCCCCTTTTAGGACTGCACAAATATAAGCATAATCCGTTAAACTGAGTCTCTCTTAAAAACGTATTTGACTTATTCACTTCAACTTCAGTTAAGCATTTGCATTGTATGTACTAGTTAAAACATTCGCATCCGATCTTTATCTGATATACAAACTCGAGCCGAAGGCGAAAACGACCCATCTTTTGAGTTCATTGGCGAAGTAATTTTAAAAATAAACATTGTCTAAGCCGAGTAATATCATAGTTGCCTCGAAATCCTTTGTCTCGCGAGGTACGATTAATCACTAATTTACCTCATTACCCATGCATACGCTTTGTCTTCTAAATTTACCCGGTAAATTTAGTTGAAAACAAAGGATTTCTTTGTCTTCTAATTTTCCCCTGCATGCTTGATGAGGGAAATTTAGAAGACAAAAGCGTACCTCATTACCTCTGATTGGAGAGCTGTACCTCATCGAAAATCATCGGCACAACTATGGACAGTATCTGACGACACCGTCCCGTACACATTCGATCAATCACTTTGCCAGCTTTTATTGTATCTTGAACATTACAATTGTGGGAGAAAATTCCGTTTCTGCGCATGCCTAAAACGAATGAACACGGAGATGTGTTTCTGCGCGTGCGTATATATGAAAAGTGTTCGTACCAACACCGCGGAAAAACGTCTGCGCATGCGTCAACCTTACCTGTAATAGTTTGCGAAGTTGATGAGAAGCTGTTCCGAACGTTTCCGAAGGCTCAAAATGGCGGTAAAAAAGAGTGACTTCATTGTGCGTCTTTACAGCCAGATTTCGAGCGCAAAAATAAACATGTCATTCTAAAAACTAGGAATAAATACAGCCAGAAGGTTCAAGAAATTGTATTGTACAAGAACATGAACTAAAGGTGATTGTTCACAAATTTATCGTCTGAAACATTTTGTTTATCAACTAAGCAACGACAATTTCCGAATTTTCGTTTGAGATACATTTCTTTAAAAAAAACTATGCCGCCAAATATAAAAAATTTTCGTGTTCACAATAATTAAACTTTTGGATTTATTCTACAATTTGAGTAGGTTAAAAAGCTTAACTTTTCGAGAGTTTTCTTAACTTTTGAGTTTGAATTTTTGTTTTGAATAATTTTGCAAAAATTTTCGAAGTCGTGTCCGTTAAAATCAACAATTTTTTACATGAATTATATTTCATTCCATACTTTAAATGCCAGGACGCTTTCAATTAATGTCTAGTCTACCCATTTGCTATATTTTCTCGTTTGTTTTACTAATTTTTGACCAATTAATAAGCATGTTTTTGTTTTAGAAATTGATATTCAAATTCCCCGCCATATTTTCATAATTTGGTGCATGCGCAGACGTTTTTCCGCGGTGTTGTTCGTACCACAATCATAAGACAATCAAACAGCATTCAAAACAGGCAACACACCACGCGCGATTCCCTCGGCAACTATGATACAACAAAGTTTTATATACAACTGACCTATATAAAACTATTATAAAATGAAATATTCACTAAACAAAGATATTTTTTTCGTTTCTTGCAATTACATTTTGTATTCTTTCTATTATTCAATACAAAGTGTTCTACTGTTCAAGGGTGTATACATTTATCAATGATAAAATCAATTTTAATCAATAAATATGGCAGATTGTTTTATTCACACAGGAGATTGATGACTTTGGAAATTCCATAAGGGGGGGGGGGGATTGGGTCAAATTAATTTCAAACCCAGGGGTTTGTGTGAAATGAGAATCCAGTATTTTTAGCATTTCCAGAGGAGGGCATTTTGTGTAATTTGGAAATTCCAGGAATAGGCGTTATGTTCTTATAAAATAATTTTTCTCAGCCCCCTGTATGGAAAAAAATGCAATCTACCATTATAAAATATGATATATACCTCACTTAGTATAGTTTTAATCTGCCATTATGATTTTAAAAATACATTAATTACAGTGAACTTTTAAAATACACCAATCAATTTGCAGGTAACCACCCCTTCCCCTGTTGACATGGAGTTAGCCATTTGCAATTGATCATGTTATCATCAATGAGTTGGGTATGATATTTGACATAAGTAAAATTCATTGGTTTGGTATTACCCCTCGCTGTCTGGAATTTCTAAAGTCCTCAAACCCCCTGTATGGGAAAACATTTCCATATTCCATAAATTTATTTTAAAATTTATTTATGCACCCTTAATGAACAGTAGAACACTTTGTATGGAATAATATAAAAATAGGTGCGCGGTGCGTACATGTTGCATGCGATCTCAAACCTTTATATGGTGCACTAGCGCTTATAATTTTTTGTACAACTGGCTTGATTCAATAAGATAAATATCAATATATTAATTGAAAAATAGTTTCATGTCAAAATAAGAGAGCTTAAGATTCTTACACGAATAGGCAATGTTTTTTCATGAGCGACTGGTCATTCTTAGTTGCAAGCGACGGTAATAACAAGGTCGAAGTCAATTACTGATTTACTCTTTACATGTAGGTTTCGTTTACTAATTTATAACTAAATAATGATATTTCCTACAAATTTAGCTTTATTGTGATTTTTGAAGGTATAAAAATCCGTGGAAATAGTGAATTACTATAACAAATTGTACATAATCTCGAATATGATTGAAATTATCGAAGTAGAATGCTATTTCGTTGTCTTAAATTTCAATACTATTAATGAGAATTTTGTTTTAAATTTTGAATATGTTTCATGTTATTTACAAAAATTAAATGTACTGTAGTTTTGAAGTTTATATATAATCAGTGCGCGTAATATAGTCAGTACCAGCAATTTGAGCATATAAAAAATGAGTATTTTGATAGCGTGGCCTTTCACGATATATAAATATAAACGCCTGATAAATAATCAGTGCAATCACAACAAATAACGGAATATAAGGTAAATTGAGAACAACGCTTTCCCTACCTCGATCTATTTTTCTGAGAAGCTCAATTATGTAAGTTTTCGGCGAACAATCTATTTTTTATTTGCGTTTTCTCGATGAATAGCGTGGACGAAATCGTGTCTGACTGATTCACAATTCACACCAAATTAAATTGCTCTTAGAAAAAGCTCGATATTGGTCGTATTTTTACGAATTTGGCACATGATTTACCACCGCCGGTAAAACGGCAATACAACGCGACACGAAAGTTAGAGCTATATATGAAAGTTGCATCTCATATATGGCATGCAACAAAAACCACAAAAAAATAGGTACGCACTGCGTACTGTGGTTAGCCTTTTGAACAAAAATAGGTACGCTAAGCGTACGTGCATTTGCGTACGGCGTTAGTGGATTATATGCCAACCAAATAGAAATCACTGAAATTATTGCAAGGACGTAGGATGATTGATACACTTTAATAGGGTGCCGGTTTTCACGAGGCACCACCATAATTTCAAAAAACTTTCAAACATGATTGAGGTTATGCAATCATCAAAAATAGAAAGTCGCGCCCCTCCAATTCACCCCTGGCACAGAATACCTTGTCAACAGCAAACATATCCCGCGTTTCGTATCTTGTACATCGGTAAATTAAAGCAGCACTTTTCAGAAAACTAGTTCAACATAGTTTAGTATAAGATACGACAATAACTAGACTAGGTCTCGACTAGACAATTTATCTTGATAATAAAAATTTTATACTAATCCTAA